CAGGAATAGCTATCTGGCTGGCTTTTTGGCGGAAGACGGGGGACCTGGAGGTGGCACACCCCAACAGGCAGGAGCTGAGCTGAGCTGAGCTGAGGCAGGTTCCAGCCCCTGCTTCTCCCCTCCCCACACAGCCTGCCAGCCCTGGGGGTGGGGACCTCAGCATTCGCAGCTCTGTTGGAGGCAGGCAAGGATCCTGTGACTCCTGGCCCCGCACCCTGTCAGCTGCGCCTGGATACTCTCCAGCCCTCAGAAAGCCAGATGCCGTGGGAGCTAGGGAAAAGGGAACCTGAAGGAAACCCAGAAAGCAGGAAACTGGGAAGTGTTCTGCTCCATAGATACTAAACAAGCCTCATCCTCAGAGCCAGTTACCTGCTGTGCATACATATATCTTTATGAAATATGAAACCCACCCAAATTTATTAAAACCGCCTGCATCATAGCGGGAACTCACGCTGAGCAGCCTTGTGTGAGAGTTTCATTATTATCACGGCATTATTTATTTATATCCTACCGAAGACAGACATGATGTAATCCAGTAATTAAGATGGTTATGATTGAATGTTTATTAAGCACCCACAATCAGCCAGTCACAGGGCCCAGTGACATGCGTTTCCCCTCAAGAGTGTCCATCTCCACACACTGGGAGCCCAGTCCCCTCACAGGGGCACAGGGAGAGGGAGCTTGATGGGTTTCGCCTTCCCTGAGCAGACCTGAGCAATGAAGCCAATCAGAAATCAGGCCCAGTTCCATCTCGCCATGCAATTGGCATGAAATGGAACGGATCCTCGATTGGTGTAGCAGAGAGGTGGGGGCCCAGGGCTGTTTCCAGATGTGCCCACAGGTGAGGAGTGAGCTTCCTAGAACCCAGAGGTGGGCTGGGCAAGGTGTGCTCTTCAAACCCAGCCTAGGCTGAGTCACTGCGCCTTTGTCTTTCAGTGAAAGTTGCTCACTCTGACATGGAGCAAGCTGATGTTGGCTGGATGCCTCCTCTGCACCAGCGGCTGGAAGAGGCTTTTCCCTGCCCCTCCTCTTCTGTTCCCTCTCCCTGTGCCCTGCCTCTTTCCCCTCCCTGGGTCACAGCCACTTCTCTCTAATCATGCCTACTAGGGCAGTGCCAGCCAGAGCCTGCACCCTCCTGCCTCAGCCTCTCATGTCCAGCACCTGTCACTGTTAGTGGACAGAAAAGGTTGCATGCAGTTCCAGAGGGCCAGTGGAGGCAGCGCAGGCATAGATACAGGCATTGGTGCAGGAGCTCATGACCCACTTTTTGACAGTCTCCCCAGCAGGGCGTTTCTGCACTTGAGCAGAGTGTGGCATGGTCCTTGGATTCTCAGTGCCCTCAGTGCAGCTAAGACCTGGTTCGGATAAATCCACTTACTGTGAAAGAAATCCTAGTTCGTTTCCTCAAAGTCTCTTTGTTTTGTTGTGATTTTCTTTTCTGATGCAGTAAAATATACGTAACACAAGATTTACCATCGTAATCATTTTGGGGGCACAGTTTGGTATTTTTAAGTACATCCTATCCTTTTGTATTTCTTATTTTGAGACAGGTTCTCACTAGTTGCTAAATAGCCCAGGTTCAAGTTGGGCTTGAAGTTGTGATTCTCCTGCCTCAGCCTCCCAGAGTGCTGGGATTATGGGTGTGTACTACCAGGTGAGTATTTGTCTTTCCTGTGGCTGGTTTCTTTCCTTAACATAGTGTCCTTGGGGTTCGTGGCTGTTGTAGCATTGTCGGAATCTCTTTTCCCTGAACTCCACTGGGCAGCTACACCATTTGTTTTTCCACTCCCCTGTGGGTGGCCACCTTTCTGGTCTGGTAAACAACACTGCTCCCGACCCAGATGCCTGCTTTGGTGTTTTGTACACATGCCCAGAAGTAGAGTGACTGGCTCCAGGAGACCCGTGGAGCTGCTGAACAACCACGCACATGAGGGTTCCAGTTTCCCTACCTCCTTGTCCATGCTCTGGATTTCCTGTTATTTTAAAAGTTTGCTTTGGGAGTAACCACCATAATGGTGTGTCTTGTGGCTTTGACTTGCTTCTTCCTAGTGACTAGTGTTGGTGAGCGACTTTTCAAAGATAGTTTGTAAAGAAGCACCCAAACTCAGCTTCACGGGGTTTTGTGTAAAGTCAGAGGCCTCCCATCATGTGGTTTGTGATGGTGCTCTGTCCTGCCCTCTGCAGATGGGCGGGGCATACATGTGATCCGGGAGAGCTGCGGACAACTCTGGTGGGGACCACTCCCTGGCCTGTGCAAGGGCCTGGCTTCCTGGAGGGGGCAGCACACAGAGACCCTCCTGAGGCTGCATGCCCCACCTTTGTATTTCCGGTTCCTGTGTAGTGGCATGGCGATGGCTGGCCTCAGGAGGGGAGAGTGGTAAAGTCTCTCAGATGACTGTGGTGCAGCCAAGCGGGGCATCACTGCTGCCAAGGTCTTGTCTGTGCAGGATCCTCAGGGGTCCAGGAGGGGACACGACTTCCAACTGGGATTGGCTCCCAAGCCAATCAAATAGATATAATTGTTTAACCACAACAGGGCCCAACTCTCTGTTCTGCTTTTTTTTTTCCTTTTCTTTTTTGCAGTACTGGGGATTGAAACCAGGGGTGCTCTACCGCTACCACTGAACTGCTTATTTTTTATTTTTGAGTCAGCATCTCACTGAGTTGCCCAAACTGGCCTTGAACTTTGAATCCTCCTGCCTTGGTCTCACGAATAGCTGGGATTGCTTGTGTGTACCACCATGTCGGATCCTGCTTTCTTTTAAAACAAGTCCCAGAGATGACATTTCTAAGTGGTCCAGTACCCAAGGAGGTGTGTGCAGGGCAGGGTGTGGGGGCAGCTCCCTTGGCTGGTGACCCAATCCCATGCATTAGAATAAACATGCCCGTCACCAGGGGATACTGTATACCAGAAGCTGTCATGGTCAACCAGAAGCTGTCTGAGTGTGGCTCCACGGCCAGCAACATCAGCAATGTGGAGCCGACTGGAAATGCAGGTTCTCACAAAGCTCTGCTTCACAACAAACCTGGCAGGTATCCTCCCACAGCCCCACAGCCATGGCGCTAACAAAGCCTCTTAACTTGCAGCCCTTGCAGTGCACAGTCAGAGAAATAGGGGAGCAATCTGGGCTGCCTAAAGCAAGTGAGGGCCCAGCTGGGACTCAGACCTAGGTTCTAGAGCCCCAGGGAGCACAGGGAGTGCAAAGCCAGAGGCAGAGCCCTTTGAAACAAAGACTGCAGAGGGTTCAGGTTAGACATCAGCACCAAGGGCATCTGTGGGAATGGCATCCACAGGAATGGACGGCCAGGGACCAGTTTTAATTTGGAGCAAGATGAAGCCACCAAGCCAGCCACACCCCAGAGAACTATTTTAATAGCGACTGTGTGGCAATGTCTGCCAGCCAGAGGGGAGAGGAAACCTCCTGTGGGTGGCTGGAAAGACAGCAGGGCTTGGAATATTTTCCACCTTCTCCAAGGCATGTGCTCTTCTTCCATGCCCACCTGCCCACCAGGTGACAGCAGAGAGGCAGGCAGGGACAAGGTGGCCTCACTTCCCTGGTGGCCACAGTGAGGAGAAGCTCAGACCCAGATGGTGACATGGCCAGAGGCAGAGCAAGTGCACTGGGCAAAAACCCCCTTTCCTTCCCAGAGACCCCCAGGTGGCCCAGTCTGTTATCTGCTTGAATCTAAGCACAGGGCCTATCGCCCAATGGCCTAGGGCCATTTCCTACAAATCCATACTCAAGCCGCTTCTATCCCTTGGTTCCACTGAGCGGTCGCCTTCCTACAATTTCCTTGTGCATTCACCACGGAAAGGGCTATAATGTGTACAGGTGTGTGTGTATATGAAAAAGTGTACGTGTGTGGCTGAGAATATGCACATTTGTGTGTGGCTGTGTGCGTGTGGCTGAGAGTATCTGTGTGTCTGAGAGTGTGCGGCTGTGTGTATATAAATGTGTGTGCCTGAGGGTGTATGTATGTCTGAGTGTGTGTGTGTGTGTCTGAGTGTGTGAATGTGGATGAGGATGTGTATCTGAGAGTGTGTTGTATGGCTGAGTGTGTATCTGCTGTGGAAAGTGTGTGTGAGTCTGGTTGAGAGTGTGGGTGTGTACAGTTGAGTGGCATAGACAGGTTCGTGGGTCAAACTTGGCACTGTCATCTTGCCTTAAACGGTAAGAAGCTGATTCCTACTTTTGGGGCTGATTTTCTAGGGTCTTCAGTAGAATTCTTCGTAGATGTCATTATATGGGCTATAGAAATAAAACGTATCCTCCTGCATGTCTCCATTTGGAAGGGCTTTGATACAGAGCAAAGATGGTTAGTAGGTCCGGAAGAGCTCTGTGGATGGGTCCAAGAGGCCATCCAGCCTCGTGGTTCTGAACTCAGGGAAACTGAGGCCCGAGGGGAAGAGCCTGCCCCCACATTCCCTGGTGCATGAGGCCAGCCCACCCCAACCTCTTTCCTCTGCAACGGGGGCTGCCCAGCCCCTGGGTGAGCTCTTGGACACTCAAGGTGGACACTCAGGGCTCTGCTGTGATCACCAGTGCACACAGCTCCATCACTGCCCTCTGTACCGCTTCAAAGAGAGCTGGAAATAGGTTCCAGGATGCATCTCCACATTCAGTCAGGCTCCTGTAGCCCCGGCTAGGCACAGGGTTGCCTCACCAGCCTGGCTCTCTGCCCCCTGCCGGTGGGGGGCTGACCCTGCAGGCCACATTGTCTCAGACAATGAAGGCCAGGGACACAGAGGGCTGGGGTGAGGCAGAAACTACTTCTAGGGCGCAGGCAGGGAGAACAAAGGCTTCCTGTGAAGATTGGTGTGAGTAGGGGCTTTAGAAGTCAACTGAGAACCAGACGAAGCCGAGCTGTGGGCCCAATGCACTGTGCATCAGACAGCTGAAGGCCAGAACCCTTGGGGATTCTGACCCTGGACCAAGGGGCCCTCACCGCTCCCCCTTTCCTTCTTTCGCCTCAAATAAAACTCATTTTTCTCATCACAGGCAAACTGAAGAAAGTGGGGAGAACCCATGCAGGGATGTTGATAATGCAAGCTATGCTTATGCAGGGCACAGCTCTGTGGCTTCTGCTCAGTGTTGCTGTGGACCTAAAACCACTCTAAAAAATAAAGTGCGTTTATAAGACAGGTAAGAAAACAAAGAACCAGCTGGTGTGGTGGTGCAGGCCTGTAGTCCCAGCACTTGAGAGGCTAAGACAGGAGGGTTGCTATGAGTTCAAGGCCATCATGAACTACACAGGAAGACAATGACTCAAACAAAACAAAACAAAACACTACTGAAACTCTACTGTCTCAGAATGCTCCATAGGACATTTCAAACTTCTATCCATTCATTCCTTTTCTCTTTCTTTTCTTATCTTTTCTTTTTTTTTCTTTGTTTTTTTCTTTTGGTGTTTTAAGACAGGGTCTTGCTATGCCTGTAGCCCAGGCTGGCCTTGAACTCACTATGTAGCCCAGGCTGGTGTTAAACCCTGTGCAGCAATCCTCCTGCCTCAGCCTCCTGATTGCTAGGATTTCAAGCATGCCCTGCCACACCCAACTAACCCACTCATGTTTTACTTCTTGTTTTTTCTTTTTTCCCTCCCGTGCAGTTACTGTCACACCGCTTGGAAACTTCCATAATCTCTTCTTGTCACTAAATGTTGGAAGAAAAGCATTTCCTATTCTGACGTATTCTTCCATAGCTCTAGTTTTAACGGCTCTGTACACTGTGCCGTGGATTTCTAGTCATTGAGATTTTCAGGGAGTGCCATGATGGTGACATTCCTAGGGGAGCTTTACTTAGACTTGCTGTGGTGGACGTATCTGCTAGCTGTCACTAGTGGATGACAACAATGCTCAGAACTAACTTCTCCAGCCAGGCGTGGTGGTACACGCTTGTAATCCCAGCACTCAGGAGGCTGAGTCAGGAAGATGGTTGCACGTTTGAGGCCAGCCTGGGCTACAAAGTGAGCTCCAGTCCAGCCCAAACTGCAGAGTGAGACACTGTCTCAGCAAGACAAAAAAAAAAAAAGAACTAAGTTCTCCGTGTGTGCCATAGCCAGACCCTGAGCCGGCTGCCTGACTCCCCACATCTTAGGGTCACATAGAGTTTTTATTGCTCAAGGCTCCCGTGAATGGTGGAAAACAGGGCCTCTGGATGCAAGATCTTCTCTGTCTACACCAGAGACCAGGTCGCCTTGCTGGGAGCCTAATGGCTGAGCTGGCCTGGTGACAGGGGTCTGAGCTTCTCTTGGGGCTGCAGGGCTGCTGAATGGCGATGGGGACAGGTGCAAGTGCAGGGAGATTAAGGTGAGAGGTCACCCCAGAGGAGTCTCTGTTTCCTTTCATATGCAGCGAAGCTAAAATGCTCCCAGCAGAGCTGTTTGGGGTGAAGGACAGCACCCCTGCAGGGGAGTGTCCTAGGGTATCACCCCAGCCGAGCTCCCTTCTTCCTTCTGCTTCGTCCGCGGTTTCCCCACAGCTGGCCTGGCTCTCGGCTGGTGAGAGGAGCACAGCTGGCCCGATGAGGGCCAGGTCCCCTGTGCCCCTCAAGGCAGCCTTGCTGGCCTGCCTCTGTTTCCTCATCTGGGGCTGACAGACACAGGCAGGGGTTGTGCAGGAAGGCGCCTCCTTTAATCAGGTGCTGAAAGTGCTCTGGGGGTGCTGACAGGAGCTGTCTCAGGCCAATTTTGTGACACTTCAAGAGCAGAGGTCAGGTTGCTGTTGAGAGGCCAGCTCCCTGCCCCCAGTTGTGACTTTCTTGGACCACAAAAGAGGTGGGAAAATCTATGGGTCTGCAGACTGTAGGTGAGACCACAGACCTCAGAGCCTGCTTTCCCTTTCCTTTTAGAATGGGGATGAACCCGGAACCCAGGATCAGGAAGAGACTCTCCAGGCTGGGCACAGATGACCGACACCCCATGGTTGCTGCCCAGGGACGCAGATGGAAACTGAGTCTTTGCCCATCACGCTTCTAACTCCTGTGCTGAAATTCCTCCAGCAGCAAACCGAGCTGATTGCTTTGGGCTTCCTGCTCCCAATGAGGTTGCCAGGCCGTGATTTCTCATAGGCCAAACGTGGCAGATAGGATCCTAAGACAGAGCTCCCTCACCCTAGGAACAAAGTGTGTTTGGAAGCAGACACTTTCCTGGAGCAGCTGAATGGGGTTGCCCAGCCAGGGTGGTATGCTGGTAGGGGCTCTCTCCTGCCCCCTAACGCTGGGCTTCTGCTCCTGCTGGACAGCACCTGAGGTCAGACATGGGCTAAGTATAGCTGCCTTCTAGCCGGCTGTCAGCTGCACCGCGCCCAGCTCTGGGGCTCAGTGTCAGGCTACATCATGGGCTGGGGGCTTTCTGAAGGAGTCCTACCTCCTCTTGCTTGGGTTCTAGGCTCAGGAGCAGACCCCACTGAGCAGACTGGACAGCGGGGTTGGGGTACATGGAGTTGGAGGAAGGGCCTGGTGGGGCCTGGTGACACAAAAGGTGCCCAAGGCTCAGGATTTGGAGCAATAGGCTCATCTGAAACAGAAACCCTTGCTCCTAGGTTTTCCAAGTTCTTGTCACTGCGTCTGTTGTGCACTTGCTGGAGGTTTGCGTGTGGGAGACAAGAAGCAGAAGACACTCATTATCCCCGAGTGCCAATTACTTGCTCTCTGTGTGGAGCATGGCCAAGGTCAAGAAGCCACTCGCAATGGGCAGGCACATTCCACACCCAACACATAGTGACATCGTCTGTGTGCCAGGCATGGCTCTGAGTCTATGTGGCTGTGAACAGATTCGTGGTAATAACCACAGCTAAATGAACGCTCCCAGTGGCCTGTCCCCCAAGCAGGAGGTGCCCCTCATCCTGCAGAAGGTGCGTGCTCAGCAGTGGAGACTCAGCAAATGTGGCAACTGTGGCCTTCCTGATATGCACTGGGTGAAGGTGGAGGACGGAGGTGTGCAGGGAGGTGACCCTGAGGTTAGAGCCCCCCAGGCCTCTGCCTGTGTCTTAGGATGAGACTTGGCCCCCTGTATGTCACTGTGAAGGGGAATGATGGGGGGGTTTAAAATTTTAGAGAAAAGCCTGCTAAGAAAGCCTGCCAAGAATGCCCGCCAAGCCCAGAGGACATGTCCGGGCAAGCTTGATCACAGGACATTCCTTTCTTTATGGAACCCCTGATTTTACTGCCTTTGTGCAGCCAGTGGCCTTGCAATGTAACATGGGGTGTTCTTTACTGCCTTTGTGTAACTGATAGCCTTACAATGTAACTTGAGACGCTCTAACCCCTTACCAACCCATGATGTCTCCCAACTTGCTTTGCACCTCCTGGCTTACCTTCCCTTTACAAGCCCTCAAACTCTGCCGTGCAGGGCTCTAACTCTAGGAGAGATGCTAGTCAGAAGCCCACTGGTGTAATAAACTGCTTCCTAAACTTTCTTCTTGCTGTTTCTTCCTTGTTTGGCCTATTGTTCTATGACAGCTGCCCAGGCTGTCAGGACAGATCGTCTGTCGTAAAGGCCGATTCTCTAGAACACAGCAGGGACGGCTCAGAGCCCTGACCTGCCCACGTGTATGTGGACAGCATGCAGGAGCTTTTGCAGCTGTCCTGTGGATGGTGGCAGTCAGGACAAAGAGCAGGATGTGGGCAGTTCATGGCTGAGGGAGAGGGGTGCAGCGGTGGTTCAGGCAAAGGAGAAACGGGGTATCTCCTCTGGGCCTGCCCCATCTCTGCCCTCTAAGAAGGAGGCAGCAAGGCCCTGCTCACAACAGTGGCCCTGCAGGGCTGGCCGCATCCCCAGCTCCCAGCTGGTGCCTCCTGTTATCCCTTCTCTGGCACACAACCATCCATTGCGTTAATTAAGTGCTTCCACAGCGTTTGAAGGCCAGGTTTTGTGCTTGAATATATTGCCACATTAATAACTTCAGAACATTTCAGGCAGCTTCGAAATAGTAAATTAGGATGCGACGGGCCATATATTCAGCACGGAGAGCTGAAGTACCATTTTATTACACGCACCATGGAATTAGAGGCTTAATTTTCTCTTAAAAGATGGCGATGCATCATTTCCTGCAGCCAGGTAAAAACAGTTAGCAGAAGTGATTTATCCTTCAACCCAGTTAAAAATAGGAAACTGGAATTCCGGGATCTTATGCTTCGTTATTTATCTCTGCCTGGAGGGCACTTGAGACTTTTAGCCACCAACTGACTTGAAGGAGAAGGCCAGGTCCCAGGTGTGGTCAGGAAGGGGGTGGAGGTGGTGGCACATGCAGCCGCAGCCCCATCTGCAGGTCGGACGACGCAGCTTTCTAAGTGGCTGTGCCAGGAGCTGGCTGTCATCAGACAAGCACCTCCTGCAGCCATCGTACTCGCCTACGACATGGCACAATGGCAAGACCTCCTCATGGGGCTGCTGGAAGGATCTCCTGATACTACACTTGTCATATCTGCAAGAAGATACCATCTTTAGAACGGTTCTCTCTTTTTTCTGGCAGCAAAAGTAATATGTATTTATTGAGAATTTGGAAAAGTTGAGAAAATAACAAGTTAGAGAATAAAGGGCATGCTACTATAGAGCCAAATTAAGCCGGTGTTATTCTGTCCTTTCTCAGCATGCTTATAAAAGCAAAATGAAGTGCATATGCATTTAATTTTGTGTTTGGTATTACCGTATAACACGAACATCGGGCCCATTGTGAACTGTTGTCTGCTGACTTCTTTGTAGGCTGCGTGCTATTCTCCTGGAAGTGGGCATTGATGGCTTTCTAGTGGTGGGATCTGTGTATTCTTCCTTTTATGAAGATCAAAAAAGATCCTCCCCTGTAACTGTAATATGTAGACAGGAACCCATTTGGCAAGGCCACCTTATTAGTCTCCTGTGGCTAGTATGACAACCTGCTGCAACTTGGGTGGCTTACCACAACAGAGCCTGTTGCACAGTCCTGGAGGCCAGAAGTCTGATGTCAAGGTGTGGTCATGGCCTGCTCCCTCTGCAGGTCCTTGCCAGGACCCTTCCTGCCTCTTCTGGCTTTTGGTGACCGTAGTGTCCCTTGGCTTGCGGCATTTCAATCTCTGCCTCTGTCTCCATGTGGCTTCTGCTCTCTGGGTGTCTCACTCATTTGTGTGACTCTTGTAAGGATTCTTTGCCACTGGATTTAGGGTCTGCTGGATAATGATGACCTCCTCATTTCAAGGTTTTTAATGTACTCACACCTGCAAAGACCTTTTTCCCAAACACACTCACATTCACAACTTCCAAGGTCCCGGGTGCAGCCACATCTTTTGGGGCCACAATTCAGCTTATGGCATCCGGGAACTTGGGACACGTTGGCCAGATTCACAGGGTTTAGGCAGTGAAGCCTCATCCAGGCATTTGGCCTCAGCATATTTACTCTGTCTGAATGTTTTTTTTGCAGGCATGGTGTCCCTTGTCATGATTGTTACTTGTGATATGTCAATTTGACTTGAGCAGGAACCTCTGAGCTAGCTAGTAATTAGCCCCATGTGTCATGGGGAATTGACATGTAAGCCAAAATCTGAGGGAGAAGATCCACTCTGGATGTGGGTGGCACCAACCAATAGGCTTGTAGCCTGGATATTAAAAAGGAAAAGAAGAAGGAAATGGGCCCTTTTCTCAGAGGAGGTCTGATCTTTGCCATTGCCTTTGTCCTTTCATCTTCATTCCTTCAGCCTTCTGGAGAAGAGTCTTTGGCCTTCCTACACAGACACTCTGGCTTTCGGACATGGACTCACAACTGTGCCTCTATACCAGTGAGCTTCCAAGTCTTGACCTTTGACTGCTGCTGGATCCTCTGCCTCACTACAGTGTGGGCCACCATTTTGGATTCTTCCCCTTCTGGTTTTTTTTTTTTTTTTGTTTTTTTTTTGGTTTTTCTCCGGTACCGGGAACCGAACTCACGACCTTGCGCTTGCCAGGCAGGCGCTTTTGCCGCTGAGCTAAATCCCCAGCCCCGATTCTTCCCCTCTGATCCTGCAGCCACTGGGACTCTTTCTCTTCTGATCCTCTAAGCCCACCTCATAAATCCACGGTGTAGTCATACATATATTTTGTACTCATTCTCTCCCTCTAGTGAACCCTAATACCCACACTTCTGACATTTGTGCTTGGACAAACTCTGGGGGGCTCTGGCTCTCTCTTTCCAAGCCTGTTCACCCCATCTTCAGGTCCTTCCCTCCCGGCAAGCCCTGCCCACCTGCCTCGGGTATCCCCACCTTCTGGAGTGCTGCGGAATAAGTTTCAGTTCCCATGGGTGCTGACATTCAGTATGGCAGACAGGAGCCCCTCTGGGGGAGGGCTGAGTCCACCACTCACCCCAGGAGCTGCTTCAGTTGTACCACCCTCCTAGATCCAGGCCACAGGCCCCTCTGCCCACACCTGGCTTCTCTCCTTCCTGGAGGAAGCTCCGGAGAGGGGCTGCCTTGTCTCCTCACTTCGGTGCATGGGACACGAGCCTCTGTTGCTCCTCTGCAGTCACCACCACCCCCATGTGTCCAGAGCTGCTGACAGGCTCAGGAAGGCTGGGGGCGGCCACTCTGGAGCAGCCTGAGATTCATTTTCAAGAGTGACTTTGCTCTGTCCTGTGCTCTGAAGGTCTCACTAATGCAGGAGAAGTCTGCAGATTTCTCAGGGCATAGGTTCGACTAGTCTGCAGATTTCTCAGGGCATAGGTTCGACTAGCTAACCCTGCCCCATTTCCTACAGTGGGGCTGAGGTCTCACTCTGGCCACGCCTCAGGTATCCTTGGCTCTCTTTGATTTGTGGCTATGCACACCTGTAACTGGGTCTGGGTTCCTATCCTGCCTCTACTGGTTCCTGGCAGGGCCTGCCTCAGAGCCAGGAATACGAAAGCCAGGAGAAGGGCAGCTGGGCCCCATGGGCTCAGCTCCTCAGTCTCAGCTCTGTGGGGCCCTGTGCTGCCACCAGGTCTGGTGTACAGTGGCAGACGAGAGGTCAGACAGCTGTCACCTTGAGCAGCACAGTCCTAGGAAGGGGGACAAGTGCTGACAGGCAGATTGGTAGCCCCACCCCAGAGTGAGGGCGTGATTAGGCTGGGTGGGTCCAGAGAAACCATTTCTCTATCACGCTCCTGGGTGGCACAAATCCACATGCTGATGCCCGACTGTTGGTGAGTTAGCCTGGCTCAGGGTGGGCACTCTCCCTTCCTGTGCAGTGTTGAGCCCATGGGAATTCTGAGGCCCTATGGTGGATAGATTGTAGGAACCTCCTTGTGTCTCAGCCATGGCCTGGAGCCTGCCCCCAACCCACACTGCATCTGTCCAGTGTGCCCATCCCTGGCTGTATACCACACTCCCAGGCTTTCTCTGCCCTTGCCAGGGTGTTGGGTTGAGGCTGCTCAAGGACTGCCCAGGGGCCAGTGGAGATGGTGCAAAGGCCACACTAGACAGGTACAGTTGGTCGGGAGGCGGGGGGCCCCCTTCAGGCTGGGTACTTGGGAGCCCTCCTTCTCCTCCCTGCTGTGTGTGAGAGTGAGTGTGCATGCATATGAGTCTGCATGTGTGCATGTGTGTGTGTGTGGGGAGGGGGTTGGTTGCCAGCTCAGTGTTATCACGGATGTGTGTGTATGCTGGGAAGAGACTGGGGACAAGGACAGGCACCCACAGGGCGAGAGGCAGAGGAATCCCTCAAGTCTGGGTGTTGTCTTGAGGCTGGACAGGAGATCCAGCATCCACACACAGGGGCCCTTGGAGGCAGGGACAGGTGCTGAGAGCTGCTTGGAGGTGTACCCTGGGGGGGCCTGGGAAGGGGTCTGTGTAGCTGTGTGGTGGGGACAGCAGGGTCCTGACTGGGAGCAGCAGGGCAGAACTTTGGGGAGCCCAGGAGATGGAGGTGCTCAGGAGGTGCTAGGCTTCACGAGGCTCAGTGGCAGCTCAGAGGAGGGTTGGGGTCAGTTCTGCTCTGTTTGGCAAGGAGTACTGCCCAGCCAGGAGCAGGGCAGTGACCCCTTTGACTCCAGAGAGACCCAGCTGGCCCCTGATGTCCCCTTACTGTCCCTGCAGGGACTCTTAACTCCATGCCCAGGCATGTGGGGCACCTGATGATTCCTGGGGCTCCAGCTCACGTGAAAGGTAGGCAGGAGCAGGAGAGGAGCCTCGAGCTCACTGAGCTACTGTAGCTTGGCATAAGCAGACAGGTGACTGGGGTTAGCTTGTGCCCCTGGGGCCTCAGGGATGGTTACACCCTTTTAAAGGATGATGAGATAGAGAGGAAACAGCCCATGCCCCACCCCATGTGAGATGCTGAGAGCAGCCACTGGGGCTCCCTAAGCTGGTAGCCAGTCCTTCCCCGTGGGTCTCCCCACCATCTACAGATTCTGCATCCATGTGGACCTGCTCATAACCTGGGGCAGGGGGGTCACTACAGCTTCCCGTGTGACAAGTGGGTGTGAAGCGAAAGGTT